TCTCGGCAAACATGTTGGTGTTAGCGTTTGCTGGTGTTTGGGCCGCTTTGTCGATGGTGTTAATGCACACTTGCTGCGCTTTTTACAGGCCTCTTCCAGGGAAAAGTTTGAAATTAGTTCTGTAAAGTGTGGAAAATGTCCAACCAGAGTCTAGTTTTTTAAGGTTACATACATATGTACATTGTCCTTTAAGTAACTTTTCCTGATTGAAACTTTCGAAAACTGTCGGTAATAGAATTCCCCGAATCTACAAATGATGACTGAGAACTATTCCCCATATATGTGTGTATATCTATATGTATGCCCTGCACTTCCCTGACAAAACTAAAAGTGAGCTCTTGCACGCACGAATGGATCAAAGTCCACCCTATGTCCTTGAAAAACAGTTCCATTTCGAATTAAATAACCATTTCATGGAAATTCCAAGTGACTTCTCGGTGGTTGGCTGTTCAAACCCCAATCCACCTATGCCACCTTTAATTGTCCTGCTCTTTAGCAATGCGGTTGCGCCCTCCCCCTGCTCCAGCCTCTCCAGCCTCAGGATTTCCAAATTCTGCAAGCTTTCGTGGGCCCTGTGTGAGGAGCAGTTGGCTGGCGGCAAGTACGCCTTGGGGCGCCATAAAATGCTTAATAAATTGCAAAAGTGCGTCCAAAGCGGGGGACAACAGAGGGAGGCGGAAGACGGCTCAGACGGACTCACGGCAGATACAAACATATTCTAATGAAGCGCAAGTGGAAAGCTCTGCGAAGGCTCGCACACACACACACAGGCCCGTTCACACACGTTGTTGCTTTGGGGGGCGGGAGTGGGCGTGGTGCTTGGCATGCGAGGCACGTAATATGTATTGAATAATTACATTGGGTCGCCTAACGGCATACGAAATCAGCCCGATGCCGGGTTCCATTCGGGCCGAAGTCAAGTCTAGGCCGCGTCAAGTGGTGGGCCGTCCGCCGGCCGGACATTAGCCCGGCCGCGACCCCTCCCGGAGAAACTCTCCTGCTGTCGCGTAATGAGCGCCGCAGGCTTGAAAACTCCGAATCGCCGCAGGAAATAAGCTTTTTGGATGACTAAGGCCCCGGCGAGGGCTGGGGGGATAAAGATTGATGAATCCACAGAAATGCATTTCGCCCGAAAATTGAATTTCGATGGAACTCGGAGGCGGAGACAAGGAGCTGCGGCAGCCGGAGGTCGAAGGCCTCTAAGTAGTGCTAAAGTATCAATCAAAGTGCGTGCTTCGTCCAACCGTCATGGAGTTTCGTTGAATTCCACCGCTGCTCAGCCAAGGTGAGGAGATGCCTCTTCTGAAAACGAATCTTGGCAGCGCGGAGGCTGGAGAGTGAATCCGAACCCCTTGAGAGGCATCCGATGAAAGACCTCAACTGTTACCGAATCAGAAAATAAAAAGAAAAACAAAGCCAGAATTCGAAAGATGATTTATCATTACAAGAGGGAATCTGCAGTAGGATGAATCGGGGGAATTACATGCATATTCGGTTGCCAAGGGCTCGAAAAAATTAGCTATGCTGGAAGAAGAACATACGTCTTTATTGAAAAGAATAGGCTTTAGAAGTGGTATAAAAATACGGGCTATAGATCCATTCTTATACAAAATAAGATAACCTTCTCGCATAGTAATAACCACCTTCCAAAAAATAGTTCCATCTCACTCGGAAAACATGGGAATATTATTCTCATCCTGGAAAATGCTTATGTGAGATGAAAAGAGTAAAGTATGTTTCAAAATCTTTCATAGTAAAATATATAATTTTTAATGGAGTACATTAAACGTAATATTTATAGTATTCCATCGCTATAGCTAACTTCAAAGGGCACTTAAAGTTTACAATCGATATCTTCAAAACTGTAGGGCTAGTCCCATCATGCCTGTTTTGAATCACAAAAGGATCCAAACCAAGAATATATGTCCGGAGAATATAATATGAATAATATGAATTAATATAAGGCCGGAAAAATTCGTTCCTTCACTACTTTAGACACTTTTGACCAAAATTTAATACCCTCTTCAAAGCCAAAATAAAGGTTTTCTTTCAGAACCATTTCTAATGGTTGTCGCTTTCACAAGAAAATACTTGGATATATCCGTGAAGGCATTTCTAGAAATCGATATTTTCAAGTTCTATTTAATTGTGAATCGCAAAGAGCCTGTTCTTTTGGATCTTAAAAGTACTTCAAATCAAACAAAAAAAGGATTTCGAATTTTTCTGAAATATATAAATTTTTGTTGAGGACAGAGTCTAAGGATATCCTTAGGTGGCGAACCATTCTGTATAATTTAATTGGAATTTTTAGTGTTGGTCTGTTTTTTTTGTATTTTATATTCAGTCTTCCTGCTTTCCTTTATTTGTTACTGCTTCACAGCACCCAAAAAAAACATAATAATCGAATTAAAATTGTGAACATGTTTTTTAAAAAGTAATACCATTTTGGTCTGACTTTGTAGCCGTAGTGGGTTGATGTTCGCAGAATATTATGATTTATAAACATCTTGGTGTTTGAGCTTAAAAGAAACGTTTTCTGGCTCTAACAGCGTGCCAGTTCAGTGTTTTGTCAGAACAGGATACTTGCAACTTGAAACTGGCAGCTCAACATGCCACTCGATGTCGGTTGTCTTAAGTCCACATGCGACTTTCGCAAAATAAAAGCTCACAGGTCAGGGCCTCGAGAGATGCCTGAGGGTGGCAGATTGGGGATTTTGCGGCCCGGGCACTCCAGCCAGTAACCACAATTTCTGTGTTTACTTTCAGTTTTAAGGATTAATTAAAGCTTGACGGGAGAAGGTGAGTTTCTATCATCCGAATGAGAGTGGGTCGCTCTAGGACAGTAAGTCGAAAACAATTTGGGTGAATCTCGTCGACTTTTGGAATTCGATCTGAAATGGTGTCTTCGCGGCCGAATCCATTAACATTAAATGGTAATAAACGACGGAGAACTCGAAGATTTCAACAGCCCGGTTCTTCGAATCGGTAAATGGAACCAGTCCAAGATCAGGCTGCGATGGGTCACAGCTGATAAATTTATTAAATGCTCCGGGGACTCGGAAGACGACCCACAAGAGCTCTGGGGTAGGCCATGGCGACTGAAATTTAATACCAATTCGGGGGATGACTATGTTGCTGTCGATGTGTGCCCGATAGTTGTTGCTGTGGCTGTTGGTGTTGCTGTTGCTATTATTGATGTTGCCTGGTGTCATTGTTGCTGTTGCTGCTTTGATGAGGCGGCTGTCATGCGGGGTTTCTCCTCGGGCCTTGCAGACGGACAAATGATTTTGATTTCAATTTTTTCCCCTTTTGTTTGCCACCAACTATAACTGCCCTCCCCTCCAAGGGAGATACAATCAGGAAATATTTGATGACTGCGAGGGAAATGTTTTATTGTTACAATGTTCCATTAATGCCACAGCTTCAAGACCGAGATGTGGGCAGACTTTCGAGCACTGAGCTCCCCGTGGACCGACTTCAATGCGAAGGTAATAAATTCAAAACACTTCAAACTTCATTTTCTCATATTAAATTTCCAAAGGCACAGGGCTGCCAGGAGGAGGTGGAGGACTACACAGGACCACAATGCAGTGTGCCATTGCCTTGTAAAAATTGGCACCCAGCCACACGGATACGTCGCAAGAATTTGCATATGAAAGCCCGAAACTGAATCAATGGGGGCTTCCAGGAGCACTCGCACATGACGTGTGACTGCAGACACCATTCACCCACTCCCAGGTGCATCCGTGCATCCGTCCTAGTCGAGGAGCACTTGCAATTGCCAGTGAGGTATTAATGACGACATTTGAATAACAATACATCGGCAGAGGGCAGGGCTTGCCAATGGAATTCAAACGGATTCCGTACAGCCCCACTCAGCCTCCAGCATCCCCAGCAATTACATCTTTCTGCCAGACTTCCTCGGAGACACAGTCGGACAAGTCCCAATGAAGGGCACTTCTTATCCCAATGAAACCCGCTTGGAAGGATCTCACGAAGGTTTTTATACTGACCTTCGAGGCCTTGATCGAATTAAGCGTAAAGCCCAGCCTAATCGTATGAATCACAGGTCGATTTGCAGATTTAGAACACTCGATTTCACAGTTCTTGGCACCTCCGCAGTCCGGTTACTTTGCCTTTGCATATAATAAAGGCGATTTCCAGGAACCGCTGAGCCGAGCCCAGTCGGTTCGATGGCGGCCCACGTAGCATAATGAGCACAGAATTCTGGGGAATTCGCCAGGGAGGAAGAATTCATTAAAAAACAGCCGGCCTTCCTCGTGGTATCACAAAGATGCAGCCGTCATTCCGATGCCCTAAATGATGGGGGTCCGATCGCATAATCTGTAGTAAAGTCTCATGTAAACATTTCTTTGCTTTCAATGGGACGATTTAATAGTAACAACGATTTTATTCAACAAGAATTTTAAATAATAATGAGAAGTAAAAATTTTTCATTTTTTTTTGATTTATCAGGGCAGTATAATAATTTCCAGTGGTAGAATTAACAAGGAAGATCGGCTTTAAAGTATAAATACTATATTAAAGAAAACAGTTTCCCCTTATAAAAACGTATGCTTGGATATTATTAATCGTAATAGATTTTGATGATTACTAGATTAAAAAATGTTGATGTAAACATTTTTGTACCTAGAATTAGAGGATTAAATGGAGAACAGCTGTCGAAAAAGCTACTTTGATTTATTTATTGAAGTAAAGGTCTAAAGAATAACTTCCAGAAGAAGGAGGCACGAGGGAGGTTCGCTTTGAAGGATAAGTGGATCAAATAAATGTTTCTAATAATTATAGGAATATTCGTCACCTATTGTGCCAAATATGAAAAGGAATCTTATTCCTTATTCCTTGCTTTTAATATGTGAAATGGATCAAGAAGAAAGGAAGGCAATGGTGGATTGGTTTTAGTTAGTTTGGGAAGTAATTCGTAAATGTAACGCCCAGGATTCTTAGAATGATAACAAAATTCTTTGCTCCTGGGGATCCTGAAGTTTCATAATCACAGACGCTTAGATATTTACACAACACGAGAAAACAAAATTTTGAAGTGAAATGTGGATATACCTAATTCTTTTCTGGCTGTTAGGACCAGGCAAGGACCCTTGAATAACGTCCCCTTCTTTTCGGGCCTCTAAATAAATTCTTTTTGCAGGCATACTGGGAAGGTGCATCGACTGCAACAAGAGATGGCACCATCACTGCAAATCGAAGTTCACAGGATACTATTGCGCTGGAAACAGGAGCATCGTCAGCACAGAATATCTCACTAACAGTGAATATGCGACCAGTACATCGGATCCTGTGATGCCGTTTGACGTGTGCACACCGTACCCCTACGTGCTACGTATGATCAGCCGATTCCTGGCTTACTGACTAAGTTTAAGGTCTCTTGTTTTCCCATGTATTCCCCAGACTATGCCGAGAGTTACTGCTGCATGTACTCGCCCAATCTGGGGTGTCACGTGGCCTTGCACCCACATGTTTACAAATACGAAAAGACCCCGGGTACCTATTGCGACAAGTGCCAGCGGCACTGCCTTTGTGATGAATTCGGAGCGGCACCCAGACTCGGGTCCTGGGCGGCGGTTCGTCTTTTAGGGATAGTCGCTCTGCTGAGCACCTTTTTGTCTTCGTTGCTGGAACCGGTATGTTCGCCTGGTCTCTGCCCCATAAGTTACTTTTACCTTTTCTTTCAAAACAGACGATGGTACTGAGTTACTGAGACAGAGCCGACTGTCTCGAAAACGACGTTGGATAAACCGACGCAAAGGACATTTGGAAGGATATGCTGAAGTATGTCCATGCCTGGTCACACAGCCAAGGATTCATTCAAAAATTGTAGTGTATTGAAGGCGTGGAGTAAAGCAATTGATAATGGAGCACCTTGTTAAAGCCAAGTACCTGGTATCTATGTTTTCCTCTATTGAAACCGAGGAGTGTACTTTTCCATTTGTCGAATAGATGAAAAGAAAATCATATCACAAAAATTGGTCAGCAAACAATGTCGGTTGTCCATTGGCCAAAACACTTGAGTGATTGAACCAGGCGACTGGCCATCTCCTGTCCGTTCCGAGTCGCTTTTGGCGGACAAATGGGACGAGGTTCGGACGGTACGTGACTGGGAACATTATTGTTTGCTTATCTACACCTAATTGCTTCTGGCTACACTTAATAATACGGTGCCACATAGGCACAGCGTCATCGCCGTCGCTATCGTGGTCGTCATGGCGAAGTCATCTCCACCCAACGCGACCCAAGGAAGGCGGGGAGCTCTCGGACGAGTTCGCGTTGTTTGTTCAGCTTCCCACTTTGCGTTGGTCGATTCTTTCCCTCCGCTTTCATTCAGCTCGGGATTTGTTGCACCATAAAAAGGGCTTCTCGAGACTACTCCCCCTCGGACCGGGCTGCCCCCACTCCCAGACTCCCTTGGCTATTGTGCCCGGCACAGGGCAGGAGGCAGGGAAGCTGCGCGTCTCGGAGCCGCGTCTGTGGCTATTTGTTTTCTCGTCGACGGTCGACCGTTCTGTTGTCTTCTTGTTGTTCCTTGGCCGCTCCTCCTCGGCTTCCCCCGGCCTTTGCGCTTTTTCAATTTGGTGGGATGAAAAATTTCATTGGAATTGGTTTTTATTGTGGGGCCCTCTGATGGATTTCTTTTTTCGGAGGTACAAATTGTGTGACGCTAATGGAGCATTTCGGCGGAGGCGGGGGCGTTCGGTTGTGGCAGAGCATCAAGCATTGACACGGCTCTTAGTTGTCCAGCTCTTTAGCTCTTGTACGGAATAGTTTACAGATAAGAGGTGAATCATTTGTCATAATTGATTATTGCACTACCCCTTCTTCTGGGGTTCTAATCAAGGCATCCTCCATCTCTTAGCTCTCAAACTGGAGTGCTAATTGTTACGAGTTCATCCCCATGGACATGGGGTGTTTTCAGCTGCCTTTGAATGGGCGGGGAGTCAGGGGAGTGGGGAGGAAAATGTTAGGTCTCCGGGCTGCGTGTCCTGTGACGACTTTTCACCATTGGCGGGAATGTTGATGCAGTTGTTCCACTGCGACAATTGCTAATTTGAGTGCAATGGGAGGCGTGGCCAGGAAGTGCGTGCCTCTGCCGACTTACGAACTGCAAAAATCAATTGATGTTTTGGGGAAGCAGGAAGTGGCAGGAGGAACGGCTGCGAACAATAATCAGGCCAATAAACATTTCATTAACAGGCCTCAGAGCCAGAACCAATCATAACAACAAGACCGCCGTCTGCGAATGCCAGACTCTGAACTAGGGAGGGGGAAACAAATTCCCGTCCTCCCTTCCTTCCACAGACCCAAGGGGCAGGCACTCCATAGCCGCCACTTTCGTTTTCATACTCCATGACTGCCACAAGACTAGAACTCCAGACAGAGCCGGAAATCATACATAGTGGGTCTTAAATTATTGATGGCATACTTATCGTAATCAAATGGCTTTCGTATCAGTCAGTGGGATGTGTTCATACCTGAAAGAGATAAGAAATATTAAAGTTAGCTAGTTTCGGCCAATCACGATGCTTAATAATTTGGGTGTTAGAACAACTTGGCTTGGCTTGGCTCCCCGGTGAACTCCCCGGTCCCCACCGCTGGCTGCCCAGACATCTGCTCGCAACAATCAAAACAAGAACAATAGGACGGCCTACACGGGCCCGATCCCTCCCCCGAGGCCCAGGCTGCTACCCCAAAACTGGTTAATCCCACACAAGCCTTGCCGATTAACGAAGCTAGACCGAACCGAACCCAAAGGCAGACGTGAACCCCAACCCAGTCCCAGTTCCAGTTCCCAGCCCGCTCCCAATGCCAATTCCGAGTCGAGCCCTGCCGATCTGAGCCGCAATGGAAATTGCAACCGAAGAGAAGTTGAGATAACAACTGCAGATATCCAGGGGCAGGAGCCGCAGGAAGGCTGCCAGGGACTCCCGCAGAAACAGTGACAGCAAGGGAGCCAGTAACAGTCACAGTCCGGGACAGAATAACATTCGGGCTTTCAAAGCACGACTGGCTGCGGGCACCAAATGCAAGTAAAAAGTAAAGCAATTCCAATTAAGGCGATAGCGGTAAAGTGCACTGCACGAATTTGGATGGCAATTCTATCAAAATTAAGAATAAAATATAAATACAGCTCCTAACATAATCTCTAGAATGAAGGGTTAGATGGTTTCCTATATAGATACAATACTATCGTGTTACAAATGTAAGATTTCTAAGCACTCTTTATTTATAAATATTATCCTTTTTTGCCAGTGTTGTCACAAACCTTTGTTTAACTCTTAGAAAATAAGCTTTTCACAACCAGGTTCTTTTTTTCCATCCACTTTGTATATTTTAAAAAATAATATTCATTTGATAAATAATCCTATCTTAATACCAAACAAAAGCCATGTTTCATTGTGTTGATTTAGATACTCTTCTCAGTGTTTGAATAAACGCCACCGCCTTCAGAAAGGGTTAAGGCCAAAGGGCAAGGGTCGACAAGGGCAACAGGAAGTCCAGGAGGCGGGCAGCCGGAAAGTCATCCCATTAAGGGCAGGGCGATGGGAAATCCAATTGCAGATATCCAAACTAAATAAGCATATAGATGGGATTAAAATTTACAAAGGTTAACAAACAAAAACAGCTAGAATAAAGCTTTGGGAAGAATCGAAGTCCATATACCCTGGAAGGCAAAAGAACATGGAAATGAATTCCAGCTTAACTTTTGCTCCTGGGAGAATCATAGGCTATTTGCATATTGTTGAATACTGGGAGGGTTTCTAATTAATTTAGGATTCGGGCGTTATCATCCAACATTCCGACTTCCTGGCCAATGGGAACCCTGTCCAGGAAGGGTATGTCAAATGAGCGTGAAAGCAGCGGCGGTAATGCAACAAAGCGAGGCGAGGAACCCACCAACTGACACAACTCTCACGGAAGCTACACTGAGCGAAAGGCGCAGTCTTGAGGGTCGGAGCGATGAACCCCAGGTAACCCGGGGGCGGACAATCAGATTGCAACCGGGGTTAGGCAGCACGCGGTCCTCACTCATCTGCGCACTCGCTTCCATGCGAGGGTTAAATGCTCCTGCTCTGGGCATTTTGTATATTCAATTAGCGGCCGCTTCCATGTCGAACATTTCCGCTAGTTGCGGCTCCAGCCTGGGCGCTGCTGGGTGGCAGGGTGTCGCAGTGGCAGGGTGGGCCCTGCTGCCACCCACTTGTTTGCATTTCTAATGCAATTTGCGGCCGCAGCGCTTTGTTCCCGCCGCACTGCCCCCAAACCGTGTGGCGTGTCGTGTCCATTAGCACCTCAATGCTCATAATACCTATTCATTTATGCGGCCTCTGCACGCCCCAGCCAGAGTGGCCCCAGCCCCTGGACGCTGGGCATAATTACCCCCTTCCTGGAGTCTCGGACTCTTTAACATTTCTGTATCTGGTATCGGGTATCTTGTATCAGGAGCTGGAGTCTGAGTCTGGTGGCTGTAACGGATACACACTTTCAAGCAGTACCCACCCCCGGGCCCGGCCAACCAGAAGCTAAGCTCTTCAGCCGCCGCAGAATGTCCTCATTCATTAAACTTTGGGTAACCCTAGCCCCAAGTCAAACTTGATTGACTATTGTAATTGCTGCGCATCCCTGGGTCCAGGGGCGGGCCAGAAACCCCTGGAATGTGCGAAGGCCTTCCAAGACGTGCCGCAGATCCGGCCTTGCCCGGGGCCCACCCAATCCTCCGCACTGGGTTAGGACAATCTGCTCGTTTTGTCTTACACATTAGTTAAAGCTTGCGGCTACGGCAACAGCAACAAACAAACAACAAACGAGTGGAAACACAACAAAACACTTAAGCGCAACACTTTTAATTTTAGAGTTAGGCAGGACTGTGGGTGGTGGACGGAGGCTTCACACCCCTTTGGCGGGTTAGTTGGGGCGAACTTGAAACTGATGCCCGGCACGTGGACATGAGGAGAACACGACGCCCTCAGTGAGCAGACACAAAAGGCAGACGTTCCGCCAGAGAAAATTGGGATCGGATTGGGTATTCCGCACTATTCGGTGCGATTGACAAACGCTGTTGAGCCCAGGGACGGGGGTAAGTGACAGGGGTAGATCAACTCGTCAGGGGCGGGGAGGGGGAGCGGTATCTGGGGCAGGGACAGGGGCAGGGGCACCCTGAGCCGTCGGCACGCGCACAAATTAGTGAGCAGCGCAGATATGAAAAGCTGGGCTCGTGCCACTCGCTCACTCACTCGCTCGGCATCTCGCAGTGTCGGCTACAACAACAATGGGATTGCGTATAATCAAAAATTAACATAACAATACACTGGCTGAACAAGGAGAACCACCACACTAGGTCGGGGGCCAGGAGAGGCAGAAACTGCCAGGCCGGGCCTTAAAAACACACAGTGCGAACTTAAAGCTGCTCGGAGAGACTTCGATTCCGACTGAGTCCGTAATGAAAGGGTAAGCACAGACGGCTGGGAAAGGGTTTGGTTCGGGGTCGTGGGTCGGCGAGCGGGGTACGGGAAACGGGGGTTTTGGCGAAAAGTCAGGGTCGGGGCGCGCTGAGTGGACAGGGGATGTGGCACCCAGGCCAACATCAGGGACCTTTGAAATCGGCGGGCGGCGGGAATGCCACAGAAACGCTCTTTATAGCCGCCGTTCCACGGAGAAAAATATACAAAGGAATGGATCGAATTTTTTTGGCTTAAACGCCTGGAAACAGGTTTCATGTTGGTCTTTAAAAAATAATTTAAATTTCTGGTATGAATTTTGTCTGATTCGACCGTTATTGGAAGATACTTACTAATGGATACTAACCAAGATACTAATGGTTACCAACCCATAAGACCTTAGAGCTAAGCATTCTTGGACTGATAGCAGCCATTGTTGATACCGACTTTACTCCAAAAGTACCGGGTATAATGA